GAGGGGTGTGCCGACTTGGGTGGCGCGGACGCATGCGGGCTGCGCCACGGGGACCTTCGGTGGAGCTTCCCATGGGACCACGAGGCGTGTAAGGGATGTGCCGAAGTGGATGGCGCGGACGCCTGCGGGCTGCGCCACGGGGACCTTCGGTGGAGCTCCGTTTGGGTGCCATGAAACCTGTGATGGGCTGCGCCGTAGGGACCTTCGGTACAGGTCTCTTTGGGGCCACGAAACGTGTGATGGGTGTGCCGAAACGTGGCGCGGGCGCATGCAGGCTGCGCGCGGGGACTTTCGGTGGAGTTCCCGATGGGCCACGAAACGTGTGAGGTATGTGCCGACATGGGTGGCGCGGGCGCATGCGGGCGGCGCCGCGGGGACCTTCGGTGGAGATTTTTTATGGGGCCACGAAACGCTTGAGGGGTGTGACCACATGGGTGGCGTGGACGCATGCGGGCAGTGCCACGGGGACCTTCGTTGGAGCTCTCTATCGGGCCACGGAGCGTGTGAGGAGTGTGCCGAAATTGTTGACATGCGGAGGGCAGAGGCAAGAGGAGGTAGGAGAGAGGAGGGGTAGGAGAGAGGAGGGGGAGGAGGAGGAGGAGGAGGAGGAGGAGGAGGAGGAGAAGGAAGGTGACGCGTGGCGCTGTCTCTTCACAGGATGGTTGGGAATCGGGCTCCACACACACATAGTGTTGCACATTCGGAGATCCACTCACACTGGGTCTCACGCACGAGGTTCCACCCACACACACACACACACACACACACACACACACATACACACAGGTTTTCACACACAGGTGCCCATTCAAACAGAGTACCACACGCATCGGGCTCATCGCCCATGGGGTCCATGCACTCAGGATCCTTTAGGTCACACGCACATGGAGTTCAACACAGAAAGTGTGCCACGCAAATGATTCCGTTCAAGATGGGTCCCACGCGCACATGGGGTTCTCAGTGCCGTCTCGGGGTCTCCAAGGGCCTTGCCTTGCTGCGGTAATACTTAGGCTCCTGGCCCTTCGCGGAGTCTTCGAGCGTGAGTCCACGCGTTGCGCGACGACCGCATCGCATCTAAATTGTGCTTGATACGGCCGCGGAAACGTATTGCGTTGCCGTTGCGGTTCAAGCCGTCAGTGCCCCGTGCGCTCTGGGCGCGCGCGCGCGCGCGGGCGGCCTGGCCCGTGGCTTCCTCGCCCGCGGCCGCGCGCGGCGTCGGCGGCTGCGGTGGCTGATAGGGATGGCCCCGACCCTGACGCCGAAGACGAAGCCGGCGGCCGTGAAGCCAGGGGAGGCGAAGGAGCCTGCCGAGGAGGCCAAGGGTGATGAGGCCGACGAGGCCCCGGAGCCGACAGCTGCCGAGACGCCCGCTGAGGAGAAGGGCGCAGCTCCGGTCAAGAAGGCGGTGAAGAAGGCGCGCGGAAAGAAGGGGACCGTCTTCACGATGGCTCACCCCGCGTCTTGGGACATGGGCGACTTCTTCAAGGCCCTGCAGAAGCAGAAGGTGCGGGCGGTGCACGACGCGCGGCCGAACCCCGAGGCGGGCCCTGCCACGGAGGCGCTGCGGGTCGCCTTCTCCTCCGACAACATCGCCTACGAGCGGGAGCCCGCGCTGAGCTCTTTCTACGCCAAGCTTCTGGAGCAGGCCCGCGGCGGATCGGAGAGCAGCAAGCCCTGCATCTTGCTGGACGGCCGCGTGGGGTGGCGGCTGCAGCAGCACAGGCGCAGCATCAACCAGTACTTGAAGGCCAAGGGCCTGGACGTGCGGCATCTGCTCTGGTCGGGGGAGATCGACCACGAGGCGACCGCGACTTTTGCCGAGGAGGCGAAGCGGGAAGCGGTGCAGAGGCCCGACCCGCCCAAGTTTCCCGTTCCGAAGCTCGCGGTGAAGGCCCCGAACGTCATGGCTCCCACGTCGAAGGCCTCGGGGATCAGCATGGTGCCAACGACGAAGGCCATCGGCATCGGCGGGCTAACGCCGCCCACCTCCAAGGCCATGGGGGTGACGCCCCCGACGTCCAAGGCGGCGCCGCTCACCCTGCCGCTGAAGCCGACGGTGAAGGCGAGCGCGTCCTTCTCCTCGGCGGACGCCTCGCCCAAGGCGGCGGACACCCTGATCAAGGCCAAGCCGAAGCCGAGCGCTCCACCACCGGCCGAGGAGCCGCTCATGAAGCCGAAGCCGAAGGGAGGCGGCACTCCGGCGGCCAAGCCCGAGGAGGAGCCGGACGCGAAGAAGCAGAAGACCGAGGAGGCCAAGGCCGAGCCAAAGCAGGCCACCATCACGAAGAAGTGGGCGAAGAAGGCCGATGCATCGTGAGCGGTGCCCCGGACGTGCGAGCGGAGGCGCCCGTGGAGGTGAATCAATGGAGTTGCCGACCGAACTTGTCAGTCAAACCACCCCCCCTATCAGCAGCCTCACCCCTGCTTACGGTCGGGAGCTTTTGGATAGCGTGTCGCTCCGCGGGTTCTGGCCCACCACGCTTCGGCACGACACGCTGTCCACTTCCCAATCCCTAAGCGTCAATGTCCCAATCCCTTCGCGGCCTCCCGCCCCGCGGAGCGCAGCGGCGCGCTCTCCGCTCGCAGGGCACAGCATGCCGCTGGGGTCGCCACCGCGACACGCGGAGCAGAAGTTCCTGACCGGAGGCCCGATGGTGTGACTCAATGTCGGGCCGGACGAAAGGGGGGGGATAGGGAAAGGGGGGGGTACGAAATCTGCTGCATGCAGCTGGTTTCGACCCCGCCGCGGGGCCCATTCCTCGATACATGGGCGCCTCCGGCGCCAGGAGGCGCCGGGAAAATCAGCTACGTGAGCTGATTCTCCAACCCCCCCTTTGCTATCCCCCCCTTTCGCCCGACCCGACAATGGAGTTGCCGACCGACCTTGTCAGACATCCCTCCACAGCGCCACCTTGACCCCCTCGGTCCGACAGAGCCGATCGCTCCCCTCTTTATTCAGGAGGGAAAGAAACACACAGACACAACGAATCGTCGATTCCCCAGGAAATATGGGAAGATATGGGAAGTGGGGGGGAAGACGACATCCCAGAAAATATATGAAAAGATGGGGAATCCCGTAATTTGTGTGTATTCATTTGGTGTGTCCCAGGGCCCCTTCATGTATAAGTTCAAGCGACGCCCTGGAACCTGACCCCCGGAGGCTTCAAAAAAGGGGTTCGAAGCGTCATCAGAGACGACGCCTGCGAACACCGACGGAACATTCGCCTCCCTGATCCTCGAGGGTCGAGGGCCAAGTTTTGCATCGTCGCTGGCGAAAGGGGAGGAGGACAACGCCGACGACGCCAAGCGTGACCATCGACGGCGTCGTCGACGGCGACGACGACGACGACGTCCACGACGACGCCCACGACGACGGCGACGACGACGACGACGACGACGACGACGACGACGGCGACGATCCAGACGACGACGATGCCGACGACGACGACGACGGTCCCGGCACCTGCCTCCTCCTCGTGCTCCGACGATGACGACGACGACGAGCCTGACCAGGACCCGGCTTCGGGGTCGAGGGCAAGATCCGGGGCCCCCCTCGTCCCCGCGCCCAACTGCGGGGGGGGGGGCCCGCGGCGGTGCTCGCTGGGCGCTGCGCGCACCGCACCCCTCCGCTGGGGCAGCCTGAGATTTCTGTCGGGCATGTCCCTCCCCCAACAGGAGGAATATTCAGAAATAGTGAAAGAACAGTCCCGGGACGATTTTTCTAGTATGTTTGAACATATGTTGGAATATGTTTTGACTATTGTTCATTTTTTCTACAAGATCCACCTTTAGGAGGACGTGCCCGACCTGACCTAAAATCCAATTGGAGCCCAACTCGGTACACTCGAAAATTTCGATCGCAAGCAGCACCCCGCAACTGCAGATAAGAGCAATAGGGGCGGGCGTGGGGCGGGCGCGGGGTGGGTCGGCGGGTGCGTCGCGGCTTGGTCGCGGGTGGGTTGCCCAGTGGGTCAAGAGGTGGAAAGAGGTGGGTCAAGGAGGGGACGACGACGACGACGACGACGACGACGACGACGATCACGACGACGACGACGACAACAGCAACAATCATGTTAAGACTGATCGCTCTTATTCGCTCGCGTGCCATTCAACGCGTATATCCCAAACCCTCGGTACCAGCTCTCGTCGTCTTCGATCGTACCCCCCTGGGGGGTATATCGTCCTTACTTGCCGCATGTCGTTGGTGCGGTCCCTGAAGCCGGGGAAGGGAGGACGGATGGAATTGATATTCGGCTTTCGAAACGTACCTCTGTACCCGCCCATTTCGTTTTCGGTCGTGCCCCCTTGGGGTATATCTTTCTTACCTGCCACGTGCACGTAGCGCACCCCTTAAAACAGGGCAAGAGAGGACGGATGCAAGGAGGAGGGGGAAGGATTGAGCACGGGATTAGCAGGAGGGGGCTCGGAGCAGAAAACACATGGCAGAACCAGACGGGTCCATCGGGCGGGTAGAAACTGACGGGCGGGTCGGGAAGGCGGGCCCAGGTGGCAAGGTCGAGAAGGCGTGTCGTTGCAGCGTGAGTGCTGCATGAATCGGGAGGAGAGCTCGAGCGATAGCGCGATTCCCACGTAAATCGCAAGAATGGCCAAAGCGAGAGCGTGACCCTTGAGTGTCGAGGGCGCGGCGTCTGAATACATTGCGAGGACGTCCCATGCGAGAGCGCGATGTTGAATATATGTTGAGGAAGTCCCACGCGCGAGCGCAATTTTGGAATACATGGTGACGAGGTATCAGGCGGGAGCGGTTGATGTTGTAGTTCGGGGACCAACAACGCAGTTAGGTGGCACCAAGCTTTCCTGGATAAACAGATGGGTACGAGCCCGGAAGGGGGGGCACTTCGATGAAAAAACAATGGCGACCGGAGGGTGGTACCAACCGTATTTATTCTTTTGGAGTGAGAATTCAACAGCAACACCAACAACAATAACAGCAACAGCGACAACAACAACGGCAATAACACCAACAACGTCATCAACCATCACTTCAAGACTGTTCACTCTTACCTGCTCGTGGGCAAGTAAACACGTAGATCCCGCACCCTCGATACCCGCCCTCTACGTCTTCGATTGTACCCCTTTGGTGGTATAAATATTTCTTACCTGCTACGTGTATTTCGTGCAGCCCCTAAGGTAGGGAAGACAGGGCGGATGGAAGGAAGGGACAAGGCAGAGGGAGCAGGATGGAGCACTAGAGACAGTAACAGGAAAGGGGCAGGGAGCAGAAAACATGTGGCAGAACCAGACGGGCAAATCGGGCGGGTAGACCCCAACGGGCGGGTCGGGAAAGCGGGCCCAAGCGGCCAGGTCGAGAAGGCGTGTTGCTGCAGCGTGGGTGCTGCATGAATCGCGATGAGAGCTCGAGCGATAGCGCGATTCCCATGTAAACCGTAAGAATGGCCGAAGCGAGAGCGTGATCCCTGAGTGTCGAGGGCGCGGCATCTGAATACATTGCGAGGACGTCCCACGCGAGAGCGCGATTTTGGAATACATGGTGAGGAAGTATCAGGCGGGAGCCGTTGTTGTTGTTGTTGTTGTGGGTTGTGTGTGTGTTTGTTGTGTTTGTTGTTGTCGTTGTTGTTGTTGCTGTTGTTGTTCTTGTAGTAGTAGTAGTAGTAGTAGTAGTAGTAGTAGTAGTAGTAGTAGTAGTAGTAGAAGTAGAAGTAGTAGTAGTAGTAGTAGCAGTAGCAGTAGCAGTAGCAGTAGTAGTAGAAGTAGTAGTAGTAGTAGTAGTAGTAGTCGTAGTCGTAGTCGTAGTCGTAGTAGTCGTAGTAGTAGTAGTAGTAGTAGTAGTAGTAGAAGTAGTAGAAGTAGTAGTAGTAGTAGTAGTAGTACTAATAGTAGTAGTAGAAGAACCAGTAGTAGTGGCAGTGGCAGTGGTAGTGGTAGTAGTAGAAGTAGAAGTAGTAGTAGTAGTAGTAGTCGTCGTCGTAGTAGTCATAGGAGTAGTCATAGTATTAGTAGTAGTAGTAGTAGTAGTAGTAGTAGTAGTAGTAGTAGTTCTAGTACTAGTAAGTACTAGTACTAGTACTAGTATAGTATAGTACTAGTAGTAGTAGTAGTAGTAAGTAGTAGTAGTAGTAGTAGTAGTAGTAGTAGTAGTAGTAGTAGTAGTAGTAGTAGTAGTCGTAGTCGTAGTCGTAGTCGTAGTAGTCGTAGTAGTAGTAGTAGTAGTAGTAGTAGTAGTACTAGTAGTAGTAGTAGAAGAACCAGTAGTAGTGGCAGTGGTAGTGGTAGTGGTAGTAGTAGAAGTAGTAGTAGTAGTAGTAGTAGTAGTAGTAGTAGTAGGAGTAGTCGTCGTCGTCGTCGTCGTAGTAGTCATAGGAGTAGTCATAGTATTAGTAGTAGTAGTAGTAGTAGTAGTAGTAGTAGTAGTAGTAGTAGCAGTAGTAGTAGTAGTAGTAGAAGTAGAAGTAGTAATAGTAGAAGTAGTAGTAGTAGTCGTCGTAGTAGTCATAGGAGTAGTCAGTGTATTAGTAGTAGTAGTAGTAGTTGTAGTAGTAGTAGTAGTAGTAGTTTTGGTGGTGTTGTCAACCGAGGACCCACAACGCAATTTGGTGTTAACCAGCTTTCCCTTGTATAAAAATATGCGAGGCCCGAGATAAGCGCTTTACTTGACACATAGAATGGTTACTGGGCAGGTGGATCAATAATCTGTATCCGTTAAAACCCCAAAGCGATAACAAAAACAACAGCAGCAACAACAACACTCAGTTTAAACTTGCCCGCGTGCCATTCAACCCGTATGCCCCAGACCCGCGGTACCCGCCCTCTTCGGCTTCGATTGTACCCCCTAGGGTGTCATCGGTGCAGCCCCCAATCAGGGGGAGAGAGGACGGATGGAAGGGGGAGGGAGAAGCATGAAACACGGGACTAGCAGGAGGGGGGATCGGAACAGAAAACACGTGGCAGAACCAGACAGGCCCGTCGGGCGTGTAGACCCTAACGGGCGGGCCGGGAAGGCAGGCCCAGGCGGCCAGTTCGAGCAGGCGGGTTGCTGCAGCGTGAGTACCGGATGAATCGCGAGGCGAGCTCGAGCGATAGCGCGATTCCCACGTAAATCGTGAGAAAGGCCAGAGCGAGAGCAGCATGATGCCTGAGTCGAGGGCGCGTCATTTGAATAAATTGCAATGAGCTCCAACGCGAGAGCGCGATTCCGGGGTAATTTGCGAGGAAGTCCCGCGCAAGAGCGCGATTGTGGAGTAAATTGTGAGGAAGTATCGGGTGTGAGCCGTTGTTGTTGTTGTAGTTCGGATCCCAACAATATAGTTTGGTGGCACCAAGCGTACCTTGATAAACAATTGGGTGCGAGCCCCGAACAAATAGAATGGTTACCGGAGAGGGGATCAACAATATGTGTTATTTCAGGAATGAGACAGCAACAACGGCACAACCATGGTGAGACTGTTCGTTCGTATCCGTTCGCGTGCCATTCAACACGCATATCCCACACCCTTGGTACCCGCTTTCTTCGTCTTCGAT